TAATTATGGAGTGTGATTTATTTTCAACTCAAAATATCTTCAAACAAACGAAATATAAAGTTATTAGGGAGGAAAACCCTAATAACAGAAAACAGACTGACTGCTCGTAAAATATACGACAGGTCTGGACCACTCGTGAGTTTTGTTCGTATCTGAAAAAAAATCTTAGAATACGAAAACATTGGTGAATGCCACAAATTCTCCTAAATCACTCGTACGCACAACTTAAGAACAAATCTGTGCGTACAAACGGTTCTTGCATGAGGCCCATTGTACATGGAAAAATTGCAGTGCCTAAATTGTTAAAGATTTGTGGCCAAAGTAACAGTCGATAGAGTGGAGACTTTTTTCCCCTGGAGTATAGACTCCAAGCGGGAAGAGACCCTGTGCTGCGATGTGAACAGCAGCGTACGCTGCGCAGCCGCAGGTTCAGTTTCAAATGCATAGCAGTGGCTAAAACGTGTGATAACAACCAAAGTCTACTAGTGAAGGAATATTCCAAACATTGGTAAATAATTTTTATATTTTCACATTTTCACTATGAAGGAAGAAACAAAATGAAGGTTTGATTGATATGTGTCAGCTGTTTCTTGGCGTTGACTCCAAACTGTTTGATCTTTGGTCTGTTTCAGGAAGAACCACTGATTTTTGAAAAACAAATCTAATCTTAAAGTTAATAGATGCGGTTTCAGATGTGATGGGTCCGTGCTTTCATTACTAAGAACAATGTTTCATACGCTGCGGTCTTGGCTTTCTCTCTGCCCCAAAATAACTGAATACAAATTTGAGATAACTTGAATTAAACATCATCAACTCCAGTTTCCACAGGGCTCCTCAAAGATGTTTATAGAGTCGTTATATTTATACTGGTCTGCGTTTGGAGCCAATCAACTTGAAGCACTCGTCTTTTCAGCTTTTCATCACAGATCAGTTTAAGTTATAAATAACTGATACCAAAATGTATTTTGAGCACTGGAGGCATCCTGTGTAGCAAACAGACTGAGAATGGAGATAGACTAACTTGTTTATATGAACATCTCATCTTCCTCCTCTCTCTAACATCCAGTCTCCGATTTTGTAACAGTCAGAGATTTCTGATCCTAACTATCAGGGAAGCAGCTTGAAATGGTCCATTGACAGGTCACTGGTATTATTTCTGCTGCAACTTGCAGCACAAATCATCTGCAGATGTAAGAGGAAGAGGTGGACGGAACCACAAGAATCCAACTTTAAAACTGAGTCAAAAACTCAGAAAGAGGCTGAAATTCAATAAATCAGCAATTTACATGAAACATTCTAAAACAGGACTGTGTACAATGAAAAAAAAACCCACTTCTGCCCCTTTGGTCATTAAATAAAATAAGCCAAAACCTGAAATTTTTTTTCTAATTCTTATTTTTGTTAAACTGACTTGCAGTATTTGTGCAGAACTTCTTATTTCAATTTGTAATTTGTGACGTTTTCAAAGCAGCACATTTTGAAATGTTTCATTTTTGGTGGATTTCAGGAAAAAGACCACAGGATCTTTTTTTATTATGTATATTTTTGTTATGTCTTTTAACATGTCCTGACATTTTATGTTGTACTTTTGCCTCTTAACCAGGTCATTGTTGTAAATGAGAATCGGTTCTGACTTATCTGTCAAAATAAAGGTTTAGTTATTATTATTTTATGTTTTAAGAGCAGGTATTGAGATTTTTTGTGGATTTAGTTTCTTCTTTTCCCCTTTATTCCTTTGTGCCAACATTCACTCCTCAGTCAGTTCCTTGCATCAGTCACGCAGCCAGCCACACCCACTTTCACCTGTTCCCAGGTGTGTCCAATCACTCATTAATCTCAGGTAATCCATATGTTCTGTCCCTTCATCTTTAGCAAAGAATCGATGATTCTTGTGCCGCAGTCTGGTTTTCCTCATGATTTCATTGTGCCTTCTCAAGCTTTTGTAAGTTTTTCTGCTATGACATCATTATTTAAAAATAATCAGCTCCTTGTGTTACTTCCTGGTTCCAAAAACCACAACAACTGTATGGCTGGGAGTTGGATTAATAAAGTGTCTCATGCTAACAAGCTACCATGATCTGATAATATTTTATTAGCAAAGTTTTACAAACATGATCAAGAAAACTGCTAAAACTGTCCTTCTTGGTTGTGGTTTTGTAAATCACTAATATTCATATCATTTTAGGTCAGAGCTACAAAGGGTCAGATGTGGTCCCATGGAGCCACAGGTTGCAGAGTTCAGACGATGGGCTCAAATGAGTAAAGAAATGACGTACAACCCCCTCAAGTCTTAACGTCTCCGAGCAGACTGTCGTGCTGAAATAAAATGAAGAGTAAAAACATTCCAGAGTCTGCAGTGCTTAGAGAAACAGGCAGTCTGGGTTGGCACGGCTGGCAGGAAGAACTGGCCAAAGGGCTGTGAGAAAATTCCTGTGAATGCTCAGAACAGCACGACTGATAAACCAACATTAGACTTCAGCTATTCTGTGTGGCGCTTTTAATTGAACGGTTTTCTATAAACAAAATTTCCAAAACTTGTGTTTTGGTCATAAATAATACATTCATCTCAATATTTGAGCCTTTAGCTTCAAAAATGTAACAAGGTTAAAATGTTCCACATGTAAAATGTGCTTTGACTAAAAAATGTTAAAATTCGAAAGTGCGGAGCTGCATTAAAATAGGTTCTTTCTTGTTTCAGTGGCCAGTGACACAAAAATACAACAGAAATAAAGTAGATGAGACAGTTTGGTTTAAACATAAATACAGACGTGAAACATCTCCATGTCGGTTGGTAATTATTGGTAATGTGGGGTTTTCCCTGCGTGCGTTCATTTGTCTGACTGTTAGTAAAATATTTTAGTGAAACTTTCAGAACCACAGCTACATTTGTAACTGATTTACCTCTGAGGTCAACCCGATTTAAGGTGTGCTGCCACAGATACTTACCTTAGAAAGAACAAATAAAAACACTCTGTTATCAAATATCTATATA